ATTTTTTTCTTATGAAATGATAAAGCAACCCTTTTCTCTATGTATGAGGTCAATTTTTTTTTATTGGAGTTAAAATTAACGCAGATATATGACCGAACCTAACCAACCCTACCTAACCTAACCTAACCTATATTTATAGGTAAGGTTAGGTTAGGTAGCCAAAAAAAGCTAGGTTAGGTTAGGTTAGGTAGGTTAGGTAGACGAAAAAACATTAATTCATGAAAACTTGGCTTATTAGGCAAATCGGGTCTTGAATAGTAGGCTGAGAAGTGCGTTCTGGCTATTAGGTACGACATATATATATATATATATATAATGTGTGTGTGTGTGTGTGTGTGTGTATTCTCACCTAGTTGTGCATGTGGGGTTTGATCTTCGACTCTTAAATCCCGCCTCTCAACCGTCAATCAGCAGGTGTACAGATTCCTGAGCCTACTGGGCTCTATCATATCTACACTTGAAACTGTGTATGGAGTCTGCCTCCACCACATCACTTCCTAATGCAATCTATTTGTTAACTACTTTGACACTGAAAAAAATCTTTCTAACGTCTCTACGACTTATTTGGGCACTAAATTTCTACCTGTATGCCATAGTGCGTGTGCCTCTTGTGTTAAATAGTCTGTCTTTATCTACCCATATGTTATAATCTCAGCCTGCAGGAGAAACGCGTCTCCCTCCTTGAGAGTTATTCATCAAGCCTGACCTGATTAGAAGGTCTAGCAAATATTGAGGTGATAACACATATGTAAAATAGTTGCTTGGATATAAATAACAATTTAAGATTATGGGCAGTGAAGAAGAAAACAGATAAATGACTGACTAGGAGATGTGGACATTTTGCTGGAGGCGTGAGGCTCGCTTCTGGAGGGCTTTGACCTCACTTGAGTGCCAGACATCGCAGGGGAAAGCCGCGCTCCGTTCGAGCTCCCGTCAGACGGGAACCCCTAGTGATATATCTCGAAGAGAAGAGAAAGGTGCAGACGTACCAGGTGTGGAATCGAGCTGGGAACGTTGTGGTCTCAAGTCCTGGTCGACGAGGAGAGTATTAAACCGCCCAGAGGCATTATTGTGGGCCGTGGAAGTGCCCTGACCAAGCTTCGTCAGAGGGAGGAGCGCCCTCGACCAGACAATCTGTGGTAAGCACGATATACGCTAGTTCATAGTGATTGCTTGTAGTTGGTCGTGTGCCCAGTGACAGTAGCAATGTTTATTGATAAATTATACATGTTTTAATAAGGTAGAAGGCTTGAAATTAGAGAGTGGAGAGGGAGGAACACTGAGCGACGACCGTCCCCTCTGAGCGCTGGCAGGCAACTGAGGGAGCCCGGCTCCTGACGGCGAAGGACCCTCCCAGTGTGACTCACACCCGCCAGGCGAGGTGGAGTATGGACCCGCACAAAACGGGGGAGTCCACTCTCACTGTATGTAGAGGACAGATAGAGGTTTGAGGCAAACATATTGTGTGATTATTTTTGTTTATGTGTTAAAGGGGAAACATTTTTATTGGAGTGTCGATGGGTTGCAGGTTTGTCTTTGGGGAAGAAGTTGCTGAGAACTTCGAAGCCAGCACAGATGAAGTAGTTGATGAGACTCCAAGGTAGTGGAGCAGAGGACCTCGAGCTGTGAGGAGAAGCAGTGAAGAGCAGTGTCACGTGCTTCTGTAGAGGTGGTGAAGCACCATAGTTGCTCGAGGGAACTTCATGGTGTAGCAGCCAAGAGAGCTGTGGAGGAACCTAGCAGAAGGGTGAAGCACCGTAGTTGCTCAAGGAAACTTCATGATAGCAGCCTGGAGGAGCTGCAGAGGATCCTGGTAGTGAAGCCCGGAAGAACCTAAAGATATCAGGGTAGTGAACTTCCAGAGGTGGAAGGGAAGTTCTGGTGGATTACTTGTAGGGAGTTGATAGTGTTTGGTTGCCATTAGCGTGCAAGACACAGTGAGAGGTGAGTGCTTGTTTGCATTCTCACGTCAAGGAGTGTTTTATACTGAAGTTTAGAGTTACAGTCGTAGGCTGGATTACCTACAGATGTATGTGTTCTAGGACTGATAGTGATCGATTGATCATTGTTGTGTATCAATGAACATTTATACTGATATATGTTATTGCATTTAAATGCTGATTTTCTTTGTACACATTTATAGATACATATATATATTCTCTTGCTGATGGTGCAACAGTGCATGTAGACTTGATCAACTTGAGGAGGTTGATAGTATCAGGTGGTGAACCAGGAGATAGGATACCACTTGATAAGCTGATGATAGAGTTCTGATGGTGTTGGAGTGCAACCTGATTGTAATATTATAGAGTATAGGATTCATTATTATTATATGTGTGTATGTATCGTGTATGTGCTTTGTCCAGTAAATGTATCCCAATTTGCTGGTATTTGCCCTTGTCCTAGTGAGGCTTCCCAGGAGGTAGTAAAGAAGGAGAGAGAGAGAAAGAACCAAGAACCACTGCTGTGGACAGGGTAGAAGGTAATACTAATAAGTCATAGGGGATTGAGGAGATCATATCTCATAAGGAGAGAGTGGGGAGTCACAGCGGCTCGAGTGGGTGTGTGCACGTGACAACGAGGCTAAGTGTTGGAGCCGCATCCCCTAAACGTGTGACGTTGAGCCCCTCTCCAAGAGCCAGAAGCGCCAAGGGTGATCTCCTAGTGAGGTATTAGCACTCTACCGAGTTGTGGGTTGGGTTGTCCGTAGAGAAGGATCAACGACGACAACACTAACAAACACACAGTACTATAATACCATATCAATTCCTTTGAGAATCTTGTATGTGGTGATCATGTCCCGCCTAACTCTTCTGTCTACCAGTGACGTAAGGTTCAATTCCCGTAGTGTCTCCTCCTAGCTCATACCCCACAGTTCGGGTACTAGTCTGGTTTCAAACCTTTGAGTCTTTTCCAGTTTAGTCTTATGCTTAACTAGATATGGACTCCATGCTGGAGCCGCATACTCCAGGATTGGTCTGGCATATATTGTATACAAAGTTCTAAATGATTCTTTACACAAGATTCTAAATGCCGTTCTTATTTTAGCCAACCTGGTACATGCCGCTGATGTTATCCTCTTGATATGGGCTTCAGGGGACAGGTCTGGCGTTATATCAACCCCCAGGTCTTTCTCTGTCTGTCTCTTGAAGTATTTCATCTCCCAAATGATACCTTGTATCTGGTCTCCTGTTCCCTACACCTATCTTCATTACATTACATTTGCTTGAGTTAAACTCAAACAACCATTTGTTCGACCATTCCTTCAGCTTGTCCAAGTCTTCTTGAAGCCTCAAGCAGTCCTCCTTTGTTTTAGTTCTCCTCATAATTTTGGCGTCGTCAGCAAACATTGAGAGGAAAGAATCTGCACCCTCTAGGAGAGTATTTACGAATATCAGAAACAGGATAGGTCCGAGTACAGAGCCCTGTGGGACTCCACAGGTGACTTACGCTAATCTGAGGTCTCACCCCTCACTGTAACTCTCTGCTTTCTATTGCTTAGGTACTTCCTTATCCACTGGAGCACCCTACCAGTTACTCCTGCCTATTTCTCCAGCTTATACATCAACCTCTCATGGGGTTTTGTGTGAAAGGCTCTCTGACAGTCCAAGAAAAAGCAGTCCGCCCATCCTTCTCTTTCTTGCTTAATCTCTGTCACCTGATCGTAGAATTCTATTAAGCCTGTAAAGCAAGATTTATCCTCCCTAAACCCATGTTGATGGGATGTCACGAAGTCCATTCTCTCAAAATGTGTTACTAGATTTTTTCTCACGATCTTCTCCATCACTTTTCATGGTGTACAAGTTTAGGGCACTGGCCTGTAGTTCCGTGTCTCTTGTCTGTAACCCTTTTTTGTATATTGGGACTACATTAGCCGTTTTCCATATTTCTGGTAGGTCTCCCATCTCCAGTGACTTACTATATATGACAGAGAGTGGTAAGCAAAGTACTTCTGCACACTCTTTCAATACCCGTGGTGAGATTCCGTCCGGACCAACAGCCTTTCTCACGTCCAGATCCAACAGATGCCTCTTAACCTCATCTCTTGTAATTTCGAACTCTTCCAAGGCCGCCTGGTTTACTGTCACCTCTCCTAGTGCAGTGACCTCACCTTGTTCTATTGTGAAAACCTCCTGGAACCTCTTGTTCAGTTCCTCACACTCCTCTTTGCCATTCTCTGTGTACCTGTTCTCACCCATTCATATCATCATCATTTCAAGTTTCATCACCTGTTCGTTAACTGTTGGTTTTCTCCTGATGTGTCTGTGGAGTAGCTTTGGTTCGGTCTTGCTTTTGTTTGCTATATAATTTTCATACTTTTTCTGTGCTTTTCTTCTCACACTAACATACTCGTTCCTGGTTCACTGGTATCTCTCTCTGCTTTCTGGTTTTCTGTTATTTCGGAAGTTCCTCCACGCCCTTTTGTTCAGTTCCTTTGCTTTCATACATGCCCTATTAAACCACGGATTCTTATTTTGTTTCTCGTTTTTTTTTCCTTTTGGGCCGGGATAAACCTATGTACTGCCTCCTGACACTTTTAGGTGACATAGTCTACCATTGCTTGTACGTACTTAGTTCTGAGTTCTGTCCCGTGGTATATTCCTTAGGAATTTTCTCATCTCCTTATAATTTCCCTTTCGGTACATCAGCCCTCTGTTTCCTAGTTCGTTTTTTGGGAGATAAATCCTAGCTGTACCAAGTACTCAAAGATCAATACACTGTGATCGCTCATTCCCAAGGGTTCTTCCAACTTAACTTCCTTTATATGTATGTGTGTGTGTATACTCACCTATTTGTGCCTGCAGGATCGAGCATTGACTCTTGGATCCCGCCTTCGAGCCATCGGTTGTTTACAGCAATGGCTCCGGTCCCATTTCTCTATCATACCTAGTTTTAAAATTATCAATAGAATTTGCTTCCACAACCTGCTCCTTAAGTGCATTCCATTCTTCCACTACTCTCACGCTAAAGGAAAAGTTCCTAACATATCTGTGACTCACCTGAGTTTCCAGCTTCCACCCATGTCACCCTCGTTCTGTAACTATTCCATATGAACATGGAATAGTAACCAAGTACTTTATACGTTCCATCATATCCCCCCTCCCTTCTTTTTTTCTAGTGTTGTAAGGCTCAGCTCTTTCAGGCGCTCCTCATACTTCACGTATGAGGAGTACTCATACTTCAGTACTCCAAGACTAGCCTCACATAGGCAGTGTAAAGTGCCCTAAATGTCTCCTTACTTAAGTTTCTGAATGATGTTCTAACTTTTGGCAGTGTAGAGTATGCTGCTGTCGATATACTATTTATATGTGCCTCAAGAGTTAGATTAGGTATTACGTCCACGCCCAGGTCTCTTTCTCGAGTCGTCACAGGTAGGCAGTTCCCCTTCATTGTGTACTGTCCCTTTGGTTTCCTGTCACCTAATCCCATTTCCATAACTTTACATTTGCTCGTGTTGAACTCCAGTAGCCATTTCTATGACCATCGCTGCAACCTGTTCAAGTTCTCTTGGAGGATCCTACAACCCTCATCTGTCACAACTTTTCCCATCAACTTTGCATCATCCGTGATCATCGACATGTAGGATTCTACTCCTGTAAACATGTCATTAACGTATATTAGGAATAGAATTGGTTCCAGCACCGATCCTTGAGGTACTCCACTTGTTACTGGTCGCCAGTTCGACTTCTAACCCCTTATCGTAACTCTCTGGCTTCTTCCTGTTAGGTAGTTCCTTACCCATGCTAGGGCCTTTCCGCTTACTCCCGACTGCCTCTCAAGTTTGAATAGCAGTCTCATGTGCGGTACTGTACCAAAGGCCTTTTGGCCATCCAGAAATATGCAGTCTGCCCATCCTTCTCTGTCGCGCCTTATCCTCGTTATTTTATCATAGAATTCCAAAAGGTTTGTTTGGCAAGATTTTCACACACACACAGATTTTGTGTGTGTGTGCGTGTGTGTTTGTGTGTCTGTGTGTGTGTGTGTTTACTAGTTGTGTTTACTAGTTGTGTTTTTGCGGGGGTTGAGCTTTGCTCTTTCGGCCCGCCTCTCAACTGTCAATCAACTGTTTACTAACTACTTTTTTTTTTTTTTTTTTTTTTTTTCCCACACACCACACACACACCCCAGGAAGCAGCCCGTGACAGCTGACTAACTCCCAGGTACCTATTTACTGCTAGGTAACAGGGGCACTTAGGGTGAAAGAAACTTTGCCCATTTGTTTCTGCCTCGTGCGGGAATCGAACCCGCGCCACAGAATTACGAATCCTGCGCGCTATCCACCAGGCTACGAGGCGCCTGGTGTGTGTGTGTGTGTGTGTGTGTGTGTGTGTGTGTGTGTGTGTGTGTGTGTGTGTGTGTGTGTGCGTGTATGCGTGTGTATGTGTGTGTGTGTGTGCGTGTGTATGTGTGTGTGTGCGTGTGTGCGTGTGAATGTGTGTGTGTGTGTGTGTGTGTGTGTGTGTGTGTGTGTGTGTGTGTGTGTGTGTGTGTGTGTGTGTGTGTGTGTGTGTGTGTGTGCATGTGTATGAGTGTGTGTGTGTGTGTGTGTGTACTCACCTATTTGTGCTTGCGGGGGTTGAGCTTTGGCTCTTTGGTCCAACCTCTCAACTGTCAATCAACTAGTGTACAGATTCCTGAGCCTACTGGGCTCTATCATATCTACATTTGAAACTGTGTATGGAGTCAGCCTCCACCACATACATAGCTGCGTAATGCATTCCACCTGTTTACTACTTTGACACTGAAAAAGTTCTTTCTAACGTCCTTGTGGCTCATTCGGATACTCAGTTTCCACCTGTGTCTTCTTGTTCGCGTACCACCAGTGTTGAATAGTTTATCCTTGTCTACCCTGTCAATTCCCCTGAGGATTTTGTAGGTAGTGATCATGTCTCCTCTCACTCTTCTGTCTTCCAGTGTCGTAAGGTGCATTTCCCGCAGCCTTTCCTCGTAACTCATGCCTCTTAGTTCTGGGACTAGTCTAGTGGCATACCTCGGAACTTTGAACAACTCGGAACAGCTGCCGAATGGTGCGGGCACTGTGACCCTCTCTGATAGAAGTGGTGCACTTACTAACGTCAGTGTGCATGGGGCTCCCTTGGAGTTTCCAGAGGGTCTGCTACGGCGGTATTTCGGCTAGTTTGGCGCAGTAGTTAGTGTGAGGGTGAACGTGGTGTCTTCCAGTCCTCTTAAGGGTGTGAGGACTAACATTCGCACCCTGGGCATGAGACTCCGGGCAGATATTCCGTCCTCTGTGCGCCTTATGGGGTACAACGTTCGGGTGTTTTACGCCCACCAGTCGCGGACGTGTTATCGTTGTGCTCTTTTGGGCCATCAGGCTGCTGCCTGTTCTGCGCCTGCCGTTGCACCAGTGAATCTCTTCAGTGAGAAGGATTTTCCGCCGTTTCCTGTGGGGGATGATTCGGTGGATGTGGACGTCTCTTCGGCTGAGGAGGTGCCGTCTGTATCAGCTGTTGCGCCCCCTGTTGTTGTCGCCTCTCCTCCGGTGGTTGTGTAATCACCTAGTGCTCATCCTGTTCCGGCTGGTGTCCCTGAGCGTCTGCCGTCTGCTCGGGCCCCTCGTCTTCCAGTTCTTCCTATGCTGCGTCTGTCCTGGTCCCTGCACTCTCGCCGTCTGTGCTGGGTGATGGAGTGGCTGCGGAGCCTCCTGCTGTGTGTGGTCCGGTTCCCCCTGTGGTAGAGGCTCCTGCCGTTCTGCGTCGGGCGTCGGTTAGTCCGGCTATTGGTGCCCGTGTCTCTGGATCTGCTTCCGCTCTGACGATATCCGGCCGGAGTCCAAACGTTCCAGGCGTTCGTCTACGGCCTGGGCTGATGTTGGGGACTTTAGTGACTGTGGGTCTTCAAGTGTTGACGGCGTGGATCCAGCTGAGTCGTTGTCTCCGCGGTTGGTGGTATCAGAGGGTCATGTGCCTGCTGGTGCTGGTGCCTGTGTCTCGGACGTGCCTTCAGTTCTTTCTCCACTGGGGGACTCTCCGCAGTGGGGTGTGGTGGCTTCCGCTGCCAGGATGGTTCGGATGCTGGTGCTGGGCGTGGCCTGATGGTGACTTTACGTAAGGATACGCACCGCCATGATTCCCTGCAGTCGTCTGGTGGTGTGCCCATGGCCGCTGGTGCCCCTGTGGTGGTGCCCTCTGTTGAGCTCTCTCTCGAGCCCCCTCCTGTGGTGTTGTGCCTTGAGGACCTGGAGGCCCGGGTTGCCGAGTTCCTGCTTCTTGAACGGCTGGACTTTTCTGGTGGTTGGGTTCTGGGTGTATGGGATCGGGTGGCGGCTACTGGCGTCCGGAGGGACACTGTGTGGGTTCCATGTCTGCGGGTGTTTGTTTCCGAGGTTCCGGTTCACATGGCGCCCCCGGTGTTAGGTCATGCCTCCTGGACTACGTGGCTGCTTTGGGAGGCGTTCAATGTGTGGTTTCCACCGGATATGTTCCCGGGCAAATATGCACGCTGATTTCATGTTACTGTAGTTGTTGTTTTTGTTGATATTCTTGGCTAGTTGGGTGCTGTGCGAAGTGTCTTGTTATGTTTCTTGATATACTTTATGTTGTGTTTTATTCTCGGTCCTTCAGGCCAGTGCATCTATGTTGTTGTGTTTGTACATGTTTTGTTTTCTGGTTTGCGTGGTTTGCTTGTTTATTATTATTGTTTATTTTGGCCTCGCCCTTTGTTTGTTGCAGGGCGGATGATTTGGTGTGTGTGTATTTATTCTTGTATTGTTTCTGTGCTGTACGTTTGACCTGGTGTTTTCATATTGCTTTACCTGTTGTACGTGTTTGTTCTTTATGTTTTGTTTGGAATGTATTGTGATTGTCCTGTTATGTTTCCTGTTATGCCTCTTGATGTATGTTTTGTTTTATGAAGGTTTTGTTTTGTGATATTACTGTGTTTGCTAGTTTGCCATTGTATTATGTTTTGTGCCTTGATGTATGCTGTATTTTTCGATGCATTTATCGTGTTTGTGTTTTGTTGTGCTATACTGTCGGCCCTTCTGGCCGGTGGTCTATTGTTTTCTTTTGTTCTGTTCTGTATTATGTGTTGTTTTTATTGTATTTAAATTGCATGCTTTGCATGTAAAAAAAAAAAAAGACAACAACTAGTATTCAGACGTGTAGACAGTGGTCTACTACTACCACCTACTCTCCAGCACCCTTGACCCCCACCTGGCGACGACTCCTGGATCACATCACCGGCCAGGAACAAGGGCACTGCTAGTTTGAGTGAGCCGGCTCCCAGTTATCGCTACACCAGCACCACCTGGATATGGCCGTCTTTCTATATACATAGAGGCTACCCAGCCTTACCCAGTCAGAATACTTCTCCGTGCTCTACTGCTTAGATCTGTTGACATACCTCGGTGTGGTAGCAGGTTTATGCAGACTGGCTCACAGTATTCCCGCACCATTTTTATTATTTGCACTTTAATGTAATGTAAATTTGATTGTCTGTTTGTATTGTTCATTTTGCACACTTTGAGTAGAGCCAAGTTTGGATACTATTTTTATTTTATGTAATCGATTAAGGTAATTTTCTTAGCAATGTATTTTAATTTTTTTCTCAATGACTTATCCCACAGTTGCCTCAGTGTGAAGCTAAATAGCAGTCTAACTTTTTTTTTTTTTTGCTTTATGTGACTGGCATTTTATTTACCCTAGAGAGACTGCGCTACCATCCATTTTTCATATCACATAATTTGGGGGCCTGTCCTAGGAGCCTCACTCAGGTAATGCTTCTAGGCTCTTCACTTAGAATTGTGGTAATTGTACTTGGCTTTATTAAACGTTTATCTTGTCAGAACTCTTATTTTTTTTTAGAAATTTTAATGGTGCTTCATACTCTTAGCTTTCCAGATGTTGCATTATATGACTGTTGGATGACTTTGGATTACGTGGTATCTGGTGGCCACAGTCATACTCGTAATTGATTGTTCAATAATCTTTGCTATATCTTGTGTTTTCCACCTTATTCTCGTCCCTACAGGAGAGTTCTCATTCACGGCAGATCACCCCC